GCAGATGCAGATGCAGATGCAGATGAGATGAGATGAGATGAGATGAGATGAGATGAGATGAGATGAGATGAACCATCTTGGTCTGGTGGTTAAGATGCTGGTCTAGAGGAAATCTGAATTAGCATGGAAGCTAACTGGGTGACTTGGGGCCAGTCAGTCAGACTAGGAAGAATGCATTGGTAAACCACTTTTGGAAATGTTGCCTAGAAAACTACATGAATTTGGCTTTGTAGTCACCAGCTCTGACTCAAGTGTGTTTGTGTGTATACTAGGCCCACAGATTTTCAGACAGTGTCCTTTCTTGATGTCAGCTTCAATAAGGTTGCTATATTAAGTTCCTTTAAACCAGGGGTGGGAAATCTCTGGCATACTGGACACCTCTAGATATCCAGACCACTCCTCCAGGCCTCTGATTCCCCTAGTCTATGCCTGTTTCTGCCCCAATCACACACCCTCTTCAGCTCACCTCCAGCATTTACCTTCTGTATCTTGCTGGATCTGCCAGCCGTAAAGGTACGGGAGGGAACCTAGAATGACTAAATGCTTGTTTCAGCTGCGGTTGCTGTTGAATCCACCCAACAGAACAGTTATTGACCAAGTTAATATGGAAATTAATACACATAGTGTTCTCAACTTTTCTTTAAACCAAATGTAACTGGAATTCTTAGCTTCTGCCCTGAGATACTGCAGAATGGAGAAGGTGGTGTCCTGTGCTATGCACTGTCAGGGACGTCATCTTCTACCTCAGGTGATAATATTACTGGTAGTCTTCCATGAGCTATGCCATCTTCTCTGGGCCACTTTGGTACTGTGCATAAACCTGGGGTTCATTTTAGAAAAGTTAAAAATGTCAGTATGCCTTACAAGATGAGAGTACATCCTTACTCTATAGCAGTGTTTTTTGAAGTGGGCAATTTTAAGATGCATGGAGTTCAACTCCCAAAATTCCCTAGCCAGCATACTGGCCAGCCCACTTTGAAAAACGCTGCTTTACAGTGATTTGTATTTCCCTGGAAGAGCCTCTGAACTACAGTGCTGTAGCCTGATCTCATATGGCAGGGGAACAGGCTGGGCAGGAAAAATAGGGAGAACAGAAGTTGAACTGTCCTTCTTAGTGTCAGAATGCTTCTTGGATGGTGCAGTATGACATAAAGGTTGCCTTGTGCAGCTACACATTCCTGGATCAGTTTAGAGTCTAAAGTAACAACATGGCCTTTCCTTTTAATCAGAAATCAATTGGTCAGAGCTAATGGATGAATGAGGACAATTGGATAAACCTGCCATTAGATTAAGATCTATTTAAGAAATTATTTTCTGTGTTCTACCAGTAAGAAAAGTAAAATGTAAAGGATTGGGACTACATTGCTTGGTTGCTTTGGATATATTATGATATTATGCATGTAGTTATTGTGCTTTAAAAAGTTATGAGATTACAGAAAAATGTTGTAGGTAAATAAGTAAGGATATGACAGACAGAGCTTTGCTACAGTTGTCCAGAATTGTATTTCTGTGTTGGTGCTTTTTCAGTGATAGGCCCAAGGGTGTGTGTGGAGGGGGGTGGGGGGAAAGAGAGAGACTATAGAAGCAAAGCATATGTATTTCTTTGTTAGCCAAATAAAAATAACACAGTGACTTGATAAAGTGTTCCTTACTATGTTTGTAGCTCAGAATCTAATCACTTGGTTGTATAATGTACAGAAGGAAAAGATATTGCATGACCAGATGGCTAGAAAATCATATTTCTTGTACTGAAATTCCTGTAGCACTGGGCCACTGGACTTGATGTCCAGGCCATAGTCTCCAAAATCTTTTCCAACCCTTTAATTCTATAAATTTATGGCATGGTATATGTATTATTCATTTAATTTTATTTGTTCTATATATGGAGGGTGGCCTGCTTGACTAGTGCCTCAAGGCTAGCTACAAGAGGGTTATAAACCTAGTAGTTTTGTAACAACGTTCACCAGTTATGCTTTTTTATGTGTTTTCCTCTAATATATGATCTTTTGGCAATATCTTTCACCATTCTGTCTGTAATTTTTAAATCAAGTGCTGCATTACAAAGCACAGGGAAGTTCATAACCCAAAAGATAATTGCATTTTGATCTGCTTATTAGTCCGGGAGGTGTGAATTTGTGAATTTTGTCAGTTGCATAAAAATGCAGACCTGATAAAATACACCAAATTAGGTAACACTTGATGCGGCTTTTGTCTTATGTAAGAAAAACTGGATCTTGTAGGAAATGTACATTTCCTAAATTTTCTTTTATTTAATTTTTTATTATTTTTAATTAAAAATTATTTTAAAAATTTAAATAATTTCACTAAAAAGGTCATTTAGGTCATTGATTGGGAGTCATCATAGTTCCATGTTCATGCTCTCTTTTGGAAAAATGGAGTAAGACATTTCCTATTTAATTTCTGATGAGATTCAGCTGCATCTGCAAGCTTTCTTGTAATGTTTAGAATATGGTATTGAAAAGGGTAATCCCAGATTATTCATTTTGCTGATCGTTAATAGGAAAATCCACTTCATACATTGGGAGTGTTGATGAGTTTGAGGCTCCTTGGGTTAAACCAACCCTCCCAGGTGTTCATAAGGTCCTGGCATAATTTCATCTCTTTTTTTGGCTCTGGCTCTGTGCTTGCTATGTGGAACTTCCTACAATGAAGAAGTAAAACATTTCTTAGCAGAATATTTGAGACCAATCCTAAATCCACAGTTTTCAAGGGAATGTTGGCCTAGGGTAAAGCCTGTATTTGTCCCTGTTTTTTAAAAGCTACTTTTGCTTGACTTGAATCTCTGAAGACAATCTCTTCACAGAATTACAGATTTAAAGGGGATTTATGAGACATCTGGTCCAATACATCATATGTTATATCTCTTGGATAGCCATACGTTTCTGTTTGGTTTTAGCTATGTGATGTATGAAACAAGCTCATTTGTTTCTAAACCATGGCTTCTGAGTTAATATAACTTTGCCCAATGTGGGCAACCTCCACATCTCTTGATTTCAGTATCCAGAATTTCCCACCCAGCAAGCCCAAGTTTAGTGAAGACTGGCTAGCATAACTGATGAAACCAGCTGATTGAGATTTGTATCTCCAACGATTTTTGTGAAAATCATGGCTTAGTACAATATGTGAGTCTCAGTCCTTGTGAGAATAGTGATTTAATATTATTTCTTGAGCTGGTCCTGTCCAGCACTTCAGACTGTAGAAACATGTGGACTGTTTTGACCCTTCTGTTGAACAACTCCTTAAGTATCTGCCTTAGACATTGCAGCCATGTTTCTCTCAGACTTCTCTTTCTAAGGCTAAAGATATCAAAGTCCTTCAAGCTTTCTTTTAAGCCTTGTTTTCCTTACAGCTGGTCATCTTAATTGACCTCCTCTTTTTTTCTGATTTGTGTATATTTTTTAAACTAAACAATCTTTTGTTTGTGATGTATTATGGGAAACCACACATTTTTAGTGCTAAATATCAGAAGGAGCACTTGTTACAAGTTTTTTTTTAAGTGGATTAGGTGAATCAGTGTAATTTAGATTAAAAACAGATGTCTGTAATGCTCAGCATAAAGCATTCTTTGTGGAATGATGACAAATGACAGTGACATTTAAAAAAAAATACAGATTATTTGAATGCAGTAAAAACAGCCAATCATTAAATCTGAAGATTGGATATAAATACAATGTGAATCTAAAATATTTTACAACTCTTTCTCTCTCTTTCTATATGTGTGTGTGTGTGGATTTGTGACATTCTTGACCTCTTAATCTAGCTTTCTTCCAAGCTAATAAATTTATCAAAAAAGGGTACAGAATGGGTAAAATATTTTCTGGGTATATGTTATAATTTAGAAATAGTATGTTTCACATTCTCTTCAAGGGGTTATTTTTTATTTCCAAAAGAAAAGCAAAGGGATATATTTCTAAGCACAACCATAGGGGAATAATATTGGATCCAGTAGGAGATCTGAACAAATGTGCTAGAATTTCATAAAGCGTCTTGGCTTGAACTATTGGTTCAGCCACATACATCAGACTCCACTTCTGACTTTCCAACGAATGTCACAGGTATTTCTAATTCCTTAACTTCCCTATCAGGCATGACCTCTCTGAAATCTTGACCTTCAGATCTCCAGAACTCCTCCTGACCTTACATCTGCAGATGTAAACCTTGGGACCTTATTCCAATATCTTTCTGCCTCATTAGGCCATCCAAATATTAAGTTATCCTTTCACCTATCCTCATGGCAGC